AGCCGTCACCTAGCACTGTGTCTGCCATGTAGGCTGGTCTGTAAGAGAGGTGGCATTTTGGGAGTCCCCACAGCCACAACAGTGTTGGCTCGTCCCATGCCCTTGGAGTGGTCCCAAGTGAGCTTTGCCCCACCATTCACCATTAATTCACAATTAAGCCCATCGGTCTGCGAGTCGTAGTACAGCTCCTGCTCCTGGTGAGCTGGTGAAATATGGGCATCCCAGGGGCTGTGGTTTGGGAGAGCCCTGGGGCAGCACGCTTGCTAAACATGGGGTAGATCAGGCTGGGTCAAACACTATACCAGGACACCGGGGTGTTTCTCAGCATCTTATGGGTGAGGCTGTGTCTGGCTGGGCATGGCCCTGGGTGCCCGGTGCTGGGGGATGCTTGGCCCCATGGCCGTGCCATCGGCCCGGTGCTGAGATGGCAGCTTGTCTCTAGAAAACCTAAGCCAGGCCTGTTTTAGCTCATCCTCTAGGTTTGGTTTGAAGTTAGAGTTGTACACTCCTGATTTAAACAGACTCAAAGCTAGCTTAAGTGCATAAATCAGGTATTGTGCACAGCCTGCAGTTAAAAACCATGATTTTAAGTTGAGATTTTCATGACTTTTTATAAGCTTGAAGGTAAGAGATTCACCTCTTCCCAGAGCAGTGACTTTTCCAGCTTGAGAACTTGGTCTATTCAGTTTCTCAATGACCAGTATAGAAATGTACACCGTACAAACAATCCCTCAAACGTATGGTTCTATATGCATAAATCAAACCTGATTTTCTTGTGTCTCAGGTGTCAGAAGCAGCCACCAACCAGTTCCCAGCTCAACGACAGAGAAGAACCCCCTTGCTTCCTCTCCCACCAGCGCTTTCATTCCAGCTACGGCCACCAGCAGCGACAGGAGGCCCCCGAGGTCTGCCACAGGCAGCAGCCGATGGGCAGCAGAAGTCTCCACCTCCAGTGGTGGCATGTACAGGACCTTGGGCATGATCCGATCCTCATCCATGTCTTCTGTGAGAGAGACCTACGGAGTTTATGGGTCCAGAGAAATCACAGATTTCACCGAGCAGGTGGCAGACTCTTCGCTAACACACTCTCACTCTTCTTCGGAAGGTCCTTCCCCAGGTGAGCTCAAGTTAGAAGTGAAATACCATTTTTCTTGTAAGTAAAAGGAGGGCTGTTACTGTGTCTTACATTTGCCTGACTCTTTTCTGCTATGCAGAATATGTTGTTTGGAAGGATGCAGTGTGATTTTGTGTCTGAAATATTTCAGCTCTTGCTTGACCAAAAAATGTGGTTTGGGTTTTTTACAGAAAGGGCACGTGTGTGGAAAGTTTCATTATGCCAAGAAAAATAATTAACTTTCAAATCACGATTCTTTTTTTACAATCTCCAGTTGCTAATTGCATTTTATAGATGAGAGAACTAAGCAAGCAAGGATTAGATCACGTCCCTGCAGTCCCAGGGACTGGACTTCAGTTCCTGACTGCTGTCCTACCCCTTGGACCATACTGCTTCCCAGAAATTGAACCAGCTCAACAAATTTAAAGCAACTTTGAATGTAGTCTCTGAGATCTTCCATGCCACTGTTTGGTCCTAGACTCCACCGCAGTGCTGAAGGGGTCTGATGCTCCAATGCCATTTCTTCAGACTTCTCTAAGACCTTCACCCTGCTCAGCGTAGTGCCTTGTCTGAACTGATTTCCAGGCTTTTCTGGGTTGTTACAGTATTTGTTTGTTCTAGCAGCATGGAGTGCACTCAGGCACATAATGGTGAAATCAAGTGCACAGCATTAGTAGTTCAACAGTTTTTATATAATAGCACTTTCCTCGGCATCAAACCATGTTTTTTAGAAGGCAAATTTCTGTAGGAAGGATTCATGTCTTTGGAAATTTCCTGTTTTCTCTGGATTGACATCTTCTCATATCTTCTACTTGTGCATGTACTTGCTGCCTCTGGGTGTTACTGGAAGAAACCTCATCTCTTTATTTATAGTTTCACATGTGTAAAAATGTAAATTGTTTCTTTATCACATCATAGCTACTGGAAGCAGCCATGTGTCATTCAACATCCTGTCAACAGAGAGAAGAACCGATTTCCCTACCACCAGCACCTCCATTTCCACAACAGCCACCAAGGGTGGAGGGAGGATGTTAAGGTCTCTGCCAGCCAGCACCAGACTGGCCCAGACAACAGAGATTTCCACCACTGGTACTGAAACCATCAGCTCTCCAGACCATACCCGATCCTCTTTGGGAGCCCAGGGTGGTGGTGGCAGAGGTGCCACCGTGTCGTCCACGGACCTGTTGCTTACAGGCTCGCCGTCTGCTTTGGAAAGTGCTTCCCCAGGTGAGCTCTGACCGTCCCCGTGGGCCTTCTTCCCGTAGACTTGAAACATCTGCTCTGTATGGAGGAGTGAGGGCATGCGAGGAGGTGCTGGACAATGGCATTGGGAATTATGGAGGAAAATTTCAACTTCCAGAGAAAAACGCATTAGCTGTTTTTTGCATTTAGTTACCAGAAAAACCCAGCCTTACTGCAAGAGCAGTCTGCCCTCAAGATTTGGTTTGTTTTCTGAGACAGCACAGTTCCAAGACTGCCCCGTTGGCTGTGTTTACACAAGCAGGAGGCAACACCAGTCATTTCCGACTCCCACCCGGGGATGCAAATGCAGTATTTACTATTCCCATCCAAGCCTGCCATGCTTTGTTTCGAGTATCAGGGAGTTAGGTGCGGCTGTAACCCCACCTCGCTCACCGCGGGCACTGCCGTGGCGGTGTGGGAGTGCGGTGCCCGCGGCGGGAGTGCGGTGCCCGCGGCTGGACTGCGGTGCCAGGAGCTGCGCCGAAAGGAAGCAAACCCAACAGTGCTCCCATGACTTGTTCCTAGGACCCTTTTCAGGGTGTCTTCCTGTGAGCAGCACCTCCTTGCACAAGAAAGGATTGTGTCTTCACAGTTAGCGTTTTCTCCAGGTTTGGATCGTCTGCCATGTTATATCTGTGCCATCAGCCTAAGGGTGGTGATGGAAGAGAGCATGCCCACATCTTTATAGCTTAGAGTGTGTAAATCCACTTTGCTTTGCCTTTTCTTAGCAGAAGGGACCTCAGCAAGAGGACACCTGCCCGATGCTCCTCTCACCAGTACACCCAGCTCAGTGATAACCACCAGTGATGGGGAGAGGAACACAGTGCCTGTGTCAGACACCCGCACAGCATCCAGCGCGGCAGCGACCTCCGCTCCTGCTATGCCCCGCACCAGCTCCTTGGATGTGGTCCTTCTGCCATCCTCATCGGCAACAGAGCCTGGGAGGCAGAGCGATGTTTTGCAGAGTGGTGCTGGACTTGGGGAGCTTCCAACGAAGCCGCTGCCTGCATTTTCTCCCAGCATTTCAGTGCCTTCACCTTCAACAAGTGCTTCAGGTGGGTCTTGCGGTTTCCCAGTTTGCTGTGGAGAACATCCCTCCTCCTTGCTGCTGTCTTGAGCTCCCATCCTCCCTCTTCTAGCTTTAAACTAGATTTACCTTTTTAGTAAGCCTGGTTTGTAGTGAGGGGCCTCTGAGCACTGCACGGTTGGTGAGTTATTCGCCTCACGGCACTTGGGGAAGCGCTTCTTGTGTTGGGAACTAGACAGCCAGGTAGCTCTTCTGGGCCACATGTGAAGGCTGCTGTGGAGCCTTCACCTCAGCCCCCAAACTGGGGAAGCCTGGCACAAGATGTGGCAAGGGATCGGTAGACCTTTTGCCGTTCCTTATATCCCAGTTATCGTGTGTTTCAGCCTCAGCTCTGATGCCAGGGTCCCACCAGAGCTGGTTTGAAACCCACTGGTCTGCCCAAGGGAATTTTCTACAGGACTTTCAAGACCAGGTCCTACCTCCTTGCCACCCTTCTCCTTCAGAAACACCATGCACCCCAATCTGTTTTATTTTTCTGGTGTAAAGGGAAAAATTACAGACCACCTGGGAACCCCACTTAGCAAATAAGTGATGTTGGTTGCCAGGTGCCACCTCCACTGTGGGGATTGAAATATTCAGATTTTAGTCCCTGTAGAGGCCTCAAATTAATTTATAATATACAAAATATATAATTTTATATATGTCTATGCATATCTCTGCTTTGCAATTCCAGAAAGAGGAAGAAGAGTTTCTGGTGCTCCTACTGAGACCACGTACGCCTTGACCACACTCTCCAGCCACGAGGAGGGGACATCTCAGGCTGCAGCTAACCCCGACATGGGGAGCACAGCGGTGGAAAGCCCCACATCTCACCTAGACACAGCTGGGGAGCCTCACACCAGCCCCCTCCCATCCTCCACGACATGGCCTGGAGCAGGACACGTCTCGTCCAGCCAAGCAGGGTACCCAGAGCCCAAGGCCACCCTTTCATCCAGGGTCTCCACCTACTTCTCAGCTTCTGGTGAACCTTCCAGTGAGTTTTTCTGAACTCCAGGATGGCTTTTGAAACAGGAAAAAATCCACTGCCTCTCCCTTCCCCTCTTCCGTGGGGTTGATATGATCACCAACACGTGACAGAGCTGTGTTGCGGGTGTCGTGGGCAGGATTTATAAGCAGTGGTGATTCTGCTCCTTGGTGTTGTATATCTGCAGCTGCTGATGCTTATCAAAAAAGGTCTCAGGAATGAGACATGTAGCTTCTTGTTACCTGCTACCTGCATGGGTTGGGGTGCCAATTATAAATAACATAAATATGCCATTATGACTCTAATGGTACCGATTGTCCTTCTCTATTTGGACAGTCCTGTTTCTTTGGAGTAGTAGGCTTTGTGTATTAAATCCACATTTAAGGTGATAGATACGTGAGATCTACTTAATCTGTATTTAATCTGAGTTGATCTGTGCAATTTTATTAATCTGCATTTCCAAACAGAATTATTGTAGAAGTCACAAGTGCTTTCTGCTTTGAGATGATAAAATCAGATACCTGCTTTTCAATCCTATTCCAGCCGTGGGCAGCAGCCATCACTCCCTAAGCAGCTCGAGCACTGAGGAAAGGATGTCCAACCCTGTCACTGATCCTTCATACAGTTCATCCACGTCTGCTGGTGGTGGAGAGAGGACACTGCACTCGGTGACGGACGGCATCCTGGCTGGTGGCACAGAGAGCTCTGCTTCCTACACCAAAACCGCCAGCTCTCCAGGGCCGGCTCAGCCGGCATCGGTGGAGCAGAGTGGGACGGCCAACGCCTCCACCAGCAGCCGAGGTTTCACAGGCTTTGCGACCGAGACACTCTTAACACGTTCTTCCAAGATACCCACTTACTCTTCTTTCCAAAATGATCTCACAAGTAAGTTAGTGTCTCCCAGCATACATTTCGCGGGGGGAATGTTCACATTGTCCTGCGTTTATCTATGCTGTACACAAAGTTCTCATTCATTAGTACATGCGGTGCCACCTGTGGTGCACTCAGGGGGATGTTTTCATCAAAGGACTCAAAGCCAGACCCCACCTAGCTGGGGAATCGTTCCAGAAGTGAAGCCATGAGCCCGAGCGGGGAAACTCACCTGTTTTGATGGCCTCGGTTTTTTTTTTGCATCCTAACCGGTTTCTTTTGGGTGACGCTTTCAGAAATGTTTCATGATGGTGTAAGTCAATTGTAGAATTAAACCAAATTTTCAATACCCTATTTTTTATTTTTAGAGATTGCTGAGCTTAGCTGTACATCCTGAAATTTGTATTATAAGATTGACTGCACCTTTTATGCTAAATAATCTGAATTTTTTGCAGGCTGATGTGCTACTTATTTAGGATTTCCTGCCTGCAAAGTTTTCAATCAATGAGTTCATGATAAGCTGCAAATTAACATAATGTAATAATTTCATCCTGCAGAGGCATGAAGTTCACTGTGTCTAAAAACAAATCGATTGAAGAAGATGGATATTCTTTAGTTGGGAATGGAGGATAAGAGGGAGAGGATATGAGTTTTATAATAAAGAGAACAGAGGGGTTTTCCTGCTTAGCTAACCACAAAATATCACGGAATGATAAGTGCTCCATCACATTAGAAAAGCAATACTGGAAGAACAGCATTTTAGAAACCTACATGTTTCATGGAAGCCTTATGTCTCTCTGAGTTCACCCTTTTAAAATCAATTAAGGAGTGCAGAAGACTCCTAATTTGATATCCGTGCTTGGATGGTGCTCTACATTTTTAGAAGAGTGCAGGCCAGTTCACAGACAAGAACATTTTATGTATTTAGCAACTGATTTTAATATGACATCAAAATCCTTCCATATTACTCTTTCTAATATATTTTGTCCTTTTACTCCAGACTTTTCAAGTAGTCATCTGCCAGTCAGTAGCATCGATGCTGAGAAAAGGACCTCAGTTTCTCATACAGACGGCACATACATTTCAACCACATATACCAGAGGAGGAGAAAGGACCCTCTTGTCTATCTCGAATAGCAGCACCTCTGCTGACTCCTCAGAAAGTTCCACCTTTTTTTCTGAAATTTCCAGCCCTCCTGATTCATCAAAATCTTCTGTGGCACAGGACAGGAGGAGCAACGTATCCAGCAACGGCAGTTTTGTTGAACCATCTACAGAGCCATTGCTGGTACACTCTTCCAAACTGTTGACCTCTGCTTCTGCAGGCAGTGTACAAAATGCAACTCTTTTCAACACTGACTCTGAGTTGTTGACCACTGCCAGATCATCTCTATCTTCATCAGCAGTTCCAGCCTCTTCCTCACTGTCATCACTGCATCACTCGCTGTCATCAACACCACCACCAACTTATGTGTTTACATCATCAGAATCATCTGAGCCACTCTCGTCCTCTGTGATGGCATCTTCACCACCTCTGCAGGCTTTGCCGTCCTCCTTGCCCACTTCCTCATTGCTTTCCCCATCTTATTCATTAGTGTCTTTATTGCCTCTGTTTTCGTCACCATCACCCGTCTCGCAGTCCAACGATAGCGACCAAGCAAGCACCTCTGTAGCTACGACTGTGGTCAGACGGGTGCCCTCCACAGCTGCCGTGGCTGAGAGCTCACCCAGAGTGACCAACAAGCACAATGTCACGCACCAGCCCCAAAACATCACCGCCTTCACCTCCACCGGGTCTCCTCTCCCTACGGCGCCCATGGAGCAGCTTGGTGGACGCATTGTGACTGTGTCTGTTCCCCCGATGGTAATGGAGACTGTCGCACCGAGAACTATCACCACCCAGAGGGGCAGCTTTGGAAAGGTAACCGGGAAGGTAACACCGCTGCTCACCACGGCCAGCGATGCCCCACGCGCTGGGCCAACAGATGCACCCCTTAGTCCCTCACCAAGTGCAACAAACCACAGTGTCATCTTCCCTGCGGTGGCACTGACGACGGTGAAACCTCCTGTGCTGACAACACTGGCCGGTCACCAGCCAACCCCAGGTGATGCTAGCACCATGAAAGCCCACAGAACTCAAACACCCATTGCCACTAAACACATCTATACCACTGGTGAAAGCACAGAAGCTGTGGATCCCACCACTGCAAGGCCTGGTAAAGTCACTGAGGAAAACATCCCTGTTACGAGTCCTTCTAAAGTCCATCCAACCAGCAAGACCACTGAGACCACTGTGAACACTGCAACTACTTTAGCTGCTACCAAACCAACCACTGCTCCTCCATCGAGTAGCACGGCTGGGCTGAGGATGTCATCTCCAGCAACAGGTAATGTGTCTAACGGTGCTCATCAGTGGTGGGGCCAGGAACGCCTGGGTCCCACTTTAAGGGTCTTCCAAGGGTTATGTATGCATGTATGACAAGTCTGTTGTCAGCAGAGTTTGAGGATAAGAACTCAGTCTCCATGTGGGTATTTTTAAGCTAAGGGTTTAGCAATCAAGCTGAACTGCTGGAAAAGGGTGAGGATTTTGGTCAACATTTCTGATAGAAATGTTAAACTGAAATTTGAGAATTTTAGGAAAGTAAAGCTGACTGGCCTTCCAGGTAAGGATAGGATGCATTTTGTATTTGTTGATCAGTCAACAATATTGATCAATATCGACCAGTATCTATCTTATTCATGAAAAAAGGTTGTTGGCCAGCACTTGGTATTTGTGTTGGAACTACTTCTCTGTTGTTACTACTTATGGTCGTTTTCTCCCCACCTCACCAAATAATCTCCTACCCAAGGTCATGTTGCTTCTCCTGGTAGGCTACGTACTGCAGTCTTGTTGAGTGTGTTGTTACAATCATTTATTACTGCTGTCAGGCTCCTTATCTTCTCAAGTAAATACATTGACTGAAGTTCTAGATGAATGGAAATCGACTGTGTGTTTAAAGTTCGGGAGCCTGGCCCTCATGCTGCTGTAGGATATTGTGTGTGCTAACTGCATTCATCTTAGTGAAATACTGGCAATAGTATATAGTCCATTCAATAATTAAGTATTTATAGGTTATTTCTCAGGCTGATTCATTTTAATTATGGCTATGGCTTTATGCAAAAAAAAAAAAAATCACTGTAAGGGAATGGATTTGTTTTATTGAAAAATTAAGGTAACATTTCCTTTTCACCAACTGATTCACACTTTTGCCAAGTTACTTTTTCCTTTAAATACTGAGTTTTACCATTTACCAGAATGCGAAAGATCCTTCTGCTGCCTTGGACATGGTGCTTTGCATGTGGGCATTCACTGCCGTGAGAGAAGAAGCTGCCCTAGTTCACACTGTACAAAACGCAAACTGAAGGATGGCAAAGTGAAAGCCAATGTTTTAAAATACGCCCACTCATTTCTGGCTGCTTAGATCAGAGACACCAAATCTCCTTCTTGCTGATGCCGAGGGAGCCGTGCAGGCTAGTCGAGAAACGGAGATTGCTTCAAATGGTGTGTCCTGATGTGGAGTTCGGCTCGGGACTGTCTGGTCTGCAGGGTCTGCGTGATGCCATGGGGTATGGCAGTGCCGTCAGAAATACACACACGGGTTTGGCTGTCGTGTTTTGTGCTTTAACAGCAAAGCCCGTCCTTCCAGCCTCTGCTGCAGTGCTCGGCAGCAGCTGCAAAATAGGTACGAGTAGTGTGTAGGCTGTCTTGCTTGTCTTGTAGTGCCTTGTCACTGACAAGTCCACAGTCTTGCCTACGGTCTGTCCTTGCACATGTGCGTGACGTGTGTTTGTGCTTGTTTGAGTCATGTGCACAGCAAGAGGAGCATTTTTGACCAGGACATGTTTTTTTTCAAAGGAAAGTATTGGATATCTTTTCCAGAATTTGCAGTCTGAGTCGGATAATCTATGAAGTGTCTGAGACTACAGTTGTTAATCCCCTGATACTCCGTATTTCACAGCTGGTGTCTGCTGCCCAAGCCCTTGCTCACCCAGGGGGAAGTGCTTTACGAGCGGTGGCACAGGCAGGAATTGCTGCTCTGACCATACCCAGCCTGGCACGGAGAAAGCTGCAGCCCTGGTAAAGGAGTTGATGGCAGCCAGGACTGCCTCCACCGTTACTGGGGAATCTGCAGACTGCGTCAGTGTACCAGCAGTAACTGTGGATCATGGAAACAGGGCTTGGATGAAAAAGGCAGGATTTTGGTGAAGAAGCCTGTGCTCCCATGTCTAGTTCTGGCTGTCAAGGTCCCTTCTTCAGTCTTTTCATCCATAATTGTAGGGTCTTTGAAAAGCACCCTGAGATCTGCAGATAAGCAGTGCTGTAGACAAGCTGGATGTTGATATTAACATGGATCAGCACTGGATCCCAAGGGCTTTTAAATGAATATTCAAGAGAAAGTGGTTTGTATTTATTCTTTCAGCTCCAACAGAATAATTAAGAACAGGATAAATAGTAAGTGCAAATGATGCAATGAGGCATCTGATAATGCTCAGGGGGTCACAGAAGAGGAGCCAAGTTGATCTTTTTTAGCCCAACAGTCAATGATTTTTGTGATTCTGTAACTATAGCCTGTTTTTTTTTCTGATTTTGTAGATGTGGATAAATGTCTTTCCAACCCTTGTCCTGCGCTGGCCACCTGCAACAACACCCATGGCTCCTATTTCTGTCAGTGTCCTCTTGGATATGAGCTGGAAAAAGGGAAGTGCAATTTAGGTAAGAAAAAAAAAAGTGAAAAACCAGGGGAGGAAAAGATGGAAACAATTATCTGTAATCTTCTAAAATAAATTAACCTAGGCTCAGACTAGTTCAGGAGCTTAATGTTCCTCCCAACCACCACTTTTAACAAGAGCCTTTTACTGTTTATACAAGTGCAGTGTCTAATGCCTGTCGTGTTGGGCTGCCCCGGGGAGCAGGCGCAGTGGCAGCTGAGGGTTTCTTAAAAACACAGCAACAGAGCGGTGGGCTCAGGCTTGTTAGTAAGGACGGATGTGGCCCTTCTGTTCCTAATGTGTTTTACAACCCCCAAAAAGCGTTCAGCAGCTTATCGTAGCTCCCAGCCCTGCAAACCCGGGCAATGGCACTTGGCTTGGGAGAAGTGAGTGGGGCGGTTGTGTAACCCGGCTTCAGTGGGGTCAGCCATGTGCGGAAAATTAAGCAGCCGTGAAAGTCTTTGTAAGATCAAGGTCTTGTTTCGTACCTCTAGCATTTTTCATGAAGCAGAGTTACTGGTTGAAACCCAGGTTCTGACCCCCTCCTTTCTATTAGAGGACTCTCAATCTCAAGGATTTACAATGTCCCATTGTAAAGGGGAATTTGTTTTGCTAGAGTTTCTTCTGACCCTTAATCAGTGAGGATTAGAGGCATGGAAATTTTGCTAAGGAAACATGGGTGAGGTGTCCCAGAAGGTTATTTTGAAATGTTTCTTCGAGTTGGAACATGTCAGCTTCTAATTTAGAGAGTTGTTTTGATTATGGCTTGAACTGGGATACGGACAGATTATATAAATACTGTGAAGGTGATTCTCATCTTATTTTTACCCAGAGATGTTACATTAGGGCTGTCTGATATAAAATTTGTGGTGAAGATAGGCTCTGTGGAAAGGAAAAAATGGGACAGAATTGGAGGCTTTATAGTGTTATCTGCAACCGTATTTGTTTTTCTGGCGGAACATAAAACCGGAGCTCTGAGTTCTCATTTCCACTGAGTATCTCATGACACTTAATACAAGATTTAGGGATATTATCTCTCCGAGTCTGGACAACTTGGATTATTGCATTCTGCTGCCATGAATCAAATATGAATCTAAGCACGGAAAAATGCATCTTTTGGACCTCTTTTCAAATGTCATTGCTCATTCTGTCCAACAATTTGAAAAATGAAAATGTCCTTCCTACAGTGCTTTATTTTGACTTGCTGATTTGTTTTCCTTCCATTGCAGGGAGGGGTAAGAGATTTGACACGTTTACCCCAAATTATTATAAATAGCTTTGGTACCTGAAATTGTCTTGTTACTAAATTTGTCCAGCTCTGTCTATGTTCAGGGGTCCTTTTAAATTAGTCTGTGTTTCTGTATGAAATGTATGAATGCTGTGGTGAAATGCTGGTTGTTCAGCAGCATTGAGCTCTGGAATTTGACTGGGGCTGTGGGAACATCGCAGCAACCCTTGGGAAAAATCCCAAGGCTGAAACTTTGCTTTACTGGGGCAGTGACTCTCAGACATGAGTTTTCTGTCCACTGTGTGAAGGAGTTTTCCATGCAGACAGTCTCTCGTGTAAGGCGGATGAAACCGTGGCTACATATGGCATGGAGACGTGTTCTGACTAACTTGTCTTATTCTCCTTTTTAGTAAGAATATTTATCGGCCAGGTCCCCCTGAAAGTTAATATTACCCATGGGAAATACACAGAGCTCCTCCACATCGAGGGTGAAATCCTGGCGATGGTGAGTGTCATTGCTCGGACTTTGGCAATGCTGACAGGACAGGTCCCTCTCACTCCTCTTAGGGTTGTCATGGAAAGCCACAAGACTCTGTAGCATGGGTTTAGCCTTTTTAATCATTGAATCATTCTGGTCTGGTGTAAGTAAGACTGGTGAGATGTATGCTTTTAAATCCCATCACGCTTCTCTCCCCTGCCCTGCCCAGGCTGTCAAGACAGCAGCAGAGAGGTTCGGCTCCTATGGGGCTGAAGACAACATAGCTACCCGGAAAATCCTGAAGCCCTTCTCGTGAAGTGATGTGGCTAGGTTCACGCTTTTGTAGCCTCCATCCTTTCCTAGTGTATTCTGGCTGCATTGCCTTTTCTAGACCTTGAAAGGGTATTAGTGGTCCTCCAAGGTCAAACATTAAAGTAGTAACTCTGGGCTTCATTGTTCATCAGTAAATCTCGCGGGTGCTGGGGCAGGTTGGACTGCAGCTGGTGCCACCTTGCTTTTAGCCAAATCCCATGGGATGAAGCATAGCAGGAGCACCCACCCAAACACACTCTCCTCTTGGTGGAGTTTCCCAGCCATGCTATCACAACCATGTGGCCCTCGGTCAGTTGAGAGCAAGCGTTGGGTGAGCTGATGGCTTCTGCAAATGCTGTGCCATCAGTTGCTCCAAAAGGACCTTTGGGCTGGAGATAGGTACATCTCTGTGCATTTTTTAGCCAGATCATTGTATGCATGAGTTTGTCCTGTTAGCAGTTCCTGGGCTGGCTGCAGTTCATCCCAACTCTTTTCAGAGTAGATGATTTGGAGATGCTGCCAAAGGAGGGGATAGCTGGGGTGAGTCGCCTTGCTGCCTGTGTGGCTTGTTCTGGGGAGTGAACACAAACAACTGCACAAATCCAGGGGGAAGGAGGCTCCTTGGAAGTTGTACAGTCTCCGAGGGTGCCGCTTTGAGCTCGACCTCATGTGGGATTCTCTCCCTGCTGGCTTCTGGCTCTTCCTCAGCCTTTGCGGTCATTGCACAGTGGGGCCCCAGGCAGATGCTCATGTCAAAATCCCCAGGTCCTGTTCCTGTCCAAGGATGTGCGATGGTGACTTTGGCCATCCCTTGCTGGCAACAGGATAGCACATCTTTCTTATCAAGCAGATGAACTGCTGGGATGCTCAGAGCTACCTCAGCCTCAGCAGGCAGCTCTGGAGAACGCAGGGGATGGTGTCGGTGACCCAGGAGGACCATCTTGTGCTGCATCCCCCCGGGCTGCTTCCCTCCATCATCCCCCAGGGCACTAACAGCTGCTCTCTCCTTCTTTGTAGCTTGATGCATCGCTGTCGGGCTTGCCAGGGTACCACCACTCCACAGTTAAGGCAACCAGGTAAGGCTAAGGCTATGAGGGGAAGAATGAGAAACTCGAGCGTTTGGAATGTTCAACTTAAGATCCATGTTCCCCATTCTGGGTCGATGCTGGGCTTGATGCAATCCGGCCCCGTTGTAGCGCAGGGCATGGGGAATGCCTGGCCACCTTGCCCAGCTCTCCTGGTACCCTCCTCCTGGCCTGAGCGGCTTGGGGACAGGCTTGTGAGATGCTCAGGAGGGATTTATGGCTGGTTTCAAAGTAAGCTAACAGCATCCCTTCTAGCCCCAAATTTACCTCTCTGTGTGTAGGTTTGTCCTGTTTTTAAGGTCTGTTACAATGCATGACTGTTTCAGTATGTACGCAATATTGTGTCTGTGATAAACATTGCTTGCATTAGTAAGAGTCCTATGTATCATGTGCATTAATAAGAGTCCTATGTATAAGGTGCTAACGATGACATCAGACTGACCCGTGGTACTCAGGGCTGTTTTGTTTTGTTTTCTGTTAGGGAGGCAAATGTTGTGCATGTTTCAGTGCAATCCACGTTCTCTTTAGCATCCAACGTGACTTTCTACGATGTTGTCAGCAGTGTGAAAAGCTACATTCGAGCTTGCAAATCCCCCACTGAAGCCTGCCAGTTCATCTCCAGCCTGAAACCGCTCCACAGAGGTAAATAGCATCTGGAGGGACCGTGACGGGAAAGGAAAGGGATGTTTTATTTGGCTTCTTTTGTAACAGGGGGAGAAAGATTTTGGCGTTTGGAAAAACCCTTCTGAATCTTTTTTATCTTATTTAAATGGGAGGCATTTAAGAGCCTTGCAGTACAAAAGGGATGCAGATATCAAGCCTTATCTTTGCCACATGTGTGAGAAATCTGCCTCTCTGTGAAAACATCATGCAGCACAGGATTAGAGGCATTGTAGGGCAGCCTTTCATCTCCGGGATGTGATACCGGGCCCCAACCAGATCAAAAAACCATAAGTCTTAATTCCACCCCTGTGGCTGGGAGCTGGGGAAATGGCGTGAAAGCCAAGAGATGAAACCCCCCAGTGAGGTCAATTAGAGCTGCTGGAGGCTACACGGGAAGCTCCGCTCTCCTGCCTGCCCAATTTCAGTGTTGCAGGGTGTAAAAATCGTTTACAATTAAAGAGCTTTCGATATCTGTGTCAAATCCTCTACCTGCCAAAGGGGAGCGTGGATGCAGCACAGAGAGACTTGGAGAAGCACATCAGTGTTGTGCAGGACCTTGTCCAGGTGGACCTTATGGGTGGTGGTGGCCCTATGCCCTGCACCTCCTGGTCCTCTCTTTCCGAGGGAGCGATAGAGATTTAGTCGTAAGAGATAACAGCAGGACGCAGGGAGTGGACACCCTTGAAAGATGGGCTCCAGTGAGGAAACTTCTGCACATGGAGCTCTGTGACTTCGGGGTTTGAGGCTTCAAGGTTTGGCTTTGAGGATGAAAGCCGGGAGCACTTAGCCTGGGTGTAGTGGGAAACCCCTCAGATTGTTTTGGCAAAGTAAACAAAAAGATGAGAAATTTAGCGTGTCCTTTTATTTTAATGTGCCATATTTTAAAGCCACACTCCATCATGGACTGAATTAAATTATTTTGGTAGACCCACTCAGATTATATCTAGCTGTTACCTCTGATACAATGCTTTGGTAAAGTCTACTTCTAACTTGAAATAAGCAGAATAAGAAACAAATTGTGTTCTCATGTAAGTACTTAAAAGAAAAGATGTCAGATCGAAAAAAAAAAGATGATGGATCTAGCAGGGAGAGGTTTAGAAAAAGTGAATGCCAAATGAGTGACACGTTTTCCATAAAATCCTATTTCTCATGAATATTTTTTCATTTGTTCATTCCATTTAGTCTGAACTCCCAGTAAAAATTGTAAATTTGGTGACACAATTTCCATCTTTTACCCACAGTTTTGCTGAATGCTCATTGTAACAAATGTGTCTTTCTAAAGTAAAACACTGCTTCAAAGTAAAGTAAATGAAAGGACAAATTCTTTGAAAAATGAAAACATCCAGTGCTTAATATTGAAATGGAAAAAAATTGTTTTGGGCTGAGCAAAATGTCTTTCTTGATATAAATTTAAAAATTGATTTGTTGAACTGTCTCAGGGGGTGAATGTGTTTCAGCTTGAGTGTCATGGTTTAATCCCAGCTGGCAACTAAGCACCACGCAGCCGCTCACTTACTCCCCCCAAACCCAGTGGGATGGGGGAGAGAATCGAAAAGAAAAGTAAAACTCATGGGTTGAGATAAAGACAATTCAATAGGACAGAAAGGAAGAAAATAATGATGATGATGATGATGATGATAATAATAAAAGAATTAGAATATACAAAACAAGTGATGCACAATGCAATTGCTCACCACACACTGACCAATGCTCAGTTAGTCCCCAGGTAGCGACCTGCCCCCCTGGCCAACTCCCCCCAGTTTATATACTGGGCATGAAGTTACATGGTATGGAATATTCCTTTGGCCAGTTGGGGTCAGCCGTCCTGGCTGTGTCCCCCTCCCAACTGGTTTTACCCCTCCAGCCTGCTTGCTGGCTGGGCATGAGAAGCTGAAAAATCCTTGACTTAGTACAAACGCTACTTAGCAACAACTAAAACCATCAGGGTGTTATCAACGTTATTCTCATACTAAATCCAAAACATAACACTATACCAGCTATTAGGAAGAAAATTAACTCTATCCCAGATGAAACCAGGACATTGAGCCAAACCAGTTTTTTCTTTTTCATTTCCCCTTCTGCCTCCGAGCAGAAACGTCTGTTATTCACCCCCTCTATTTGCCTGTACAAACAATAGTAGATACGCAAGAAATGGTGACATAATGTAATGTTGACTGTCTCCTAATGGAACAAATATTATTTAAAAAAAAAAAAAGAGATTAAAGCAGCACGTGAGCTGAATGTGACGCCTGGGGAAAGCAAATATGCGTAACGGTGGGTTCAGAGAAAGCTGCGCTGATGTTGGCCACCTCTTCCCGACAGTTGGCAGCTTGTGCAAGCAGAAAGACCCCGAATGTGACAAGGAAACTTCTGAATGTACCGACTTCGATGGAGTTGCGCTCTGCCAGTGCAAAAGTGGGTACTTCAAATACAACAAGATGGATCACTCCTGCAGAGGTATTGCTCTTTATGTGATGTATTTTGGCTGAATTTTGCTTAAACTTTTTGTTCCAGTGGAAATGAGTGTGTGTGTGTGTGTATTGCTATGCATGCAAGAAGCTCAATATTATGAATAAATATTAGCAGCTCAAGTTTCTTTTAGTTAGGGAACTTTTCAGCAGACGCTGAAGATACAGTCTCTCTCTAGGAATAATATTATCTCTTTCTGGAGCACGCTGTGAGTCACAGTGATTGAGAAGAGGGAGAAAGGGGCCCGACTGCTTTGGGCTCCAGTTCAGTGGCACAGAACAGAGATGACGTGCGTCTCTGCCTGTTTTGATTTTGTCTGAACTCTCAGCGAACTTAGGAGAGGTGCTTTAAACTCACAAGCTTATATTAATGCATCAGCAATATTTTAAAAGTATCTGAAAATGATTATGAATTTATTTTTCAGCTGGGTTCCTAATAGAATTTTTAAGCTTAAGGGTTATATTATTTTTTAGCTACTCCTCAGATCACGAAATCTGCTTTTGCTACATATTAAACAAGGTCTTTGTCCGTGTGCCAGTTGTCAAAATGACTTCCGTAGGATCAGGATGGTCCATTCCTTAGTTCCAGTGGTTGTTATAGGGCTTCTTAAGAAATGCAGTTTTCTGATGACATATCAATAAGGATTGCCGTAGTGGTTATATATTGTTTCTGGTAGTGTCTGCTGGGTTGCTGTTGAAATAAGAGGAGATGCTTTGTCGATTCCAAATCTGATCACAGAATGAGAAAAATGTGCCTGGAGATAACTCATGTGCTGCAGGCTCTGGGATGGACACCTTGGAGATGGGCATCGCTGGGTCCCAGGTCTTGGTCCTGCCTCTCCTCTGCTCTGTGACTCCTGGCAAAACTTTTCTCCTTTGTGTTTTCCTTCCCTCCCTTCATCTTGTATGTTGGGGGAGGGATTTCTCTTAGGAAATGCTGACCATCTTCACTGACCCTTGAGAGGCAGAGAAGGGCTTATGTAGAGAGTGAGGAACTGAGCTGAAACCTGGGAAGCTTTTGCCCAGTCCTTGCTCCATCATCGATGATGGGGACCCAGGACGAGTTACTCCATTTTTCTGGTCCATGTCTCTTGCCAAGCAGTGTTGTGAAAATAAATACCTGAAAGGCTGTGAGGCACTTGGATGCAATGGTTGCGGAGGGCTAAAAGATCTAACATCTTGTACATGTGGTTACTCCTTATTTACGGGTCTTCTTTGGTGTGCAAAATATAAAAAACCCTACCTCCACACAGTGAGGCCTCAATTCCACCTTCAGCTCACTGCTGTCAATAGGAAACATCTTACTGACCAGCTTGAGAGTGTCTGAGAGACAGGGTTGATGTAGGATTTAGGCTGAAGTGCAGTGGTGTGAGGGTAGCACTGACTGCATGGTGCCACACTCCGGCAAGATACCAGATTTTCCACATCACCATGTTCCCATCTGGGTAAGCCAGGTGGTTGGGATCTTAAAAGACTTTTTCAAAAGCCAAGCTATGGCCCTCATTTGATATTTAGGGCTATTTTCTGATAAATATAGCATACAATATGCCAGCCTCTTTGAAAATCTCTGCCCTCTTAGTGACTAAACAGGAACTGAGGTCTCCTGAGCATCCGACCCTCATTGTGGGTCATGAAAATGTGGCATGGTAACTCCAGTTATAGTATTTGCAAAGAGGGAAATGGCTATTGTGCTGCCTTGTCCGGTTTCACCCGTGGGAAGGTGGATGCAGCTGGGAGAACAACTGAGGCACGGGGGATCGACCGCCCCAACCCCCAGGGATTGTTCTGTCCTGCCTTGCAGTGTCTGTCCCCTGGGACATGCTCAAAAAAGCATCCCCTGGACCAAGAAAGGGTTGAGTCTCTGAGCCACAGAAATTTCGACATGTTGGCTGTGGCACCTCTCAGTGTGCAGTTCAGTCATTGCTGGTTTTCAACCTTCCCAGTATCTTCAGGACTGTTTTAGAAACAGGATGACAAACCCAATGTGCCAGCTTTTCAAAGACGTTATTTTTAATAGTACAGAGAATTTCTGGAGCAAAGCAAGGAGCAGCAAAGCAGGTTTCCAAAGAGACCCTGAGTTTTTTTCAGGAAGGCAAAGGCAAAGGAATCCTGAGTAGAAAAGCACAACTCGATAGCTTTGCTTGGCCCCTGACACCTAAGCCTTTCCTCTGTTCCCTGCTCATGTTTGAAAGCTCGCCGAGTGAGTGTGACAGTGCGAGCTCTCCTGGGAGCATGTTCAAAGGAGCAGGAAAGATGCCAGAGGAGAAAGCAAAGTGGCAGGAAAAGGCAGGGTGAGGAGAGGAAAACACATAAGCACTGAATGTTTAAGTAATACAGAGAGATGCATGTTCAGGGTCTTGCTTTTCCTCTTTACTGCCCTTACAGCCTGCTGACCTGAGAGCTGTGTGCCGCTGGGGCCCCAGGGCTGCTCCTGCCCAAAGCACGGCTCCAGCTTTGAGACTACTCAAGGTGTACGTGCCCTACACACGTTATTGGGCTAGGGCTGAGGGAGTGAGATGCTGAGAGGCTGGGCTCCAGCATCAGGCTGCAGGCTATTCCGGGCCTTCCCAACACACAAGCAGTGGGCTGGGGCTGGGGTACACAGGGCTGCTGTGCTCATTAGAGAAGGCAACTCCAGCGAGCTGTCAAGGTGATGCATCTCTCCCCTTCACTGCAGCTTTTGTATTGCCTGATCTTGTGGTTCTCTTTAGTAGAACATTTGCTCCATGTTATTTTCAGTCTGCTTTTGTTAGTGAGTGAAAGGAGCAACCCATCCAGTCTCATTTTGCTAATGCCTTGGTGTTATGAATGAGCCAGGCAAGGATCCTTTGGGATATACTACCTTTGCCCTGGCTGTTTGTTGACTGAGGCTCTTAACACTTGTCCAGTTACCTCTGGTTTCTTCCTTGACTTCAAAGAAACCATCTTAGAGAAAAATAAATCCAGTGCAAAAAGCATCATGATGAGATGCAGCAGGGGGGGCTACGTAAAAAGCCTCACCCTCCCCATCCCCAGCTCCGGGGGAATAAATGGAGTGAAAGAGATAGTGGAGAAGTAGTAGGGCTATATAGGGCAGAGAAAGGGGTGCAAGACGAGCTATCATGGACATCAGCACCTCTGTCATCGTTGGTGCCAGTTGCTATGGCAAATCTGTGCCTAGAGCTGCAATATTCATGATGTGAGTGTATCGCTCATCTGCATCCACACACCCTGCAGGGATAATGGCACGGTGAGTGACATGAGGTGCTTAGTAAATGGTATGTAGGCAAACAGTATTTCAATATGACCAGAAGCAAGGCCAGGCATCCAAGAGCAGAGTGCCAGGCACACTGTGGGTTGCATCTTCTGGAAAGCAGAGACTTGAGCAGAGCTGCAAAGGGGTCTGGCAGGTAAAGAAGGGGTCCCCAACTCTGGCTTGTAAGGCTAATATGATCCCTGGGTGCATTTAGGGGGCACAGGTAGGTAGAAGAGGGGAAGTTTTGTTATCACTGGGCTTGCGACATCTGTTTCTGGGAACCAGAAATCAAAAGGGTCAAAGAGAACCTGTGAGTGTTCAGAGAAAAGCTGCAATAACCAGGGAGACTCAAAGATCTCAGTGCACTTGGCTTTATTAAAAGCAAAGGAGTGATTTGATGGTGAGGAGGAGAAATGTGATCGTATAACCTTTTCCAATCTAGCAAGTAAACATCCAAAGACTGGAATTTGACACTGGGATAATTCAGACCAGAAAGAAGGTGAATGTTTTTAATGGCTGGGGAAATTAACTTTATGAGCATCTGACCCAGGGTTGTGGTTGATTGTCTGTCACTGAAAATATTAAAATCAGTCTTGGATGGTTCTCTAAAATGTAGCTCCAATTCAACTATTCGATTTGAAACTGGAATTAAATTTAGGGAAGTTCTGTGACCTGTATTATGAGGGGGAGGTCACAGTCACATTGCTCCCTGCTGGCATCAATATCACTTTTTATTGGTGCTGGAAGAGCCATAAACTTCTGAATCCAGCTAGAATACTAGTGTTCTTTCTTGGTTTACTATGATATTGCCAGCCCATCCTAATGGACAACGTTACACGTTCGTCCTTCTTTTCTTCCTTCGTCCCCTCCTTTGCAAAGTGTTTCTGAAGATCCAGTCACTGGCTGTGCCAGAGGGGAAAAGGCATCTGGTGTGCTGGGAGCTGCAGAGGAGGAGGTGAGGGCTTTGCTGTGGCTTAGCTGGGACCTCAGCTGGAAGCCCCCTCCTCTCCCTGCAGATTTCCTCACGTTTGCTGAGGTTAGAAAGCTCCCAAGGTTTTGGCTGTGTTTTTTCTCTACGGTTAGAGAGCAAGGCAAAGGGAAGAGGGCTTGAGAGCT